TTTCAATACTCTGACACCACCATCTGAAATTAAAACTGGATATTTAATAGCCAAAGTTGATAAATATATTCCAAATCCAAGAAGATGCCACAAATGTTAAAGATCTGGCCATCTAAAGGAGTATTGTACAAGAAAACAAACATGTGCAAGATGTGGGGGAAAATAGAACCAAATCATGATGATACATGTAAAAATTAGCCAAAATTTATCGACTGCAATAGAGATCACAGAGCTAATTCTAAAGTATGCAAGACCTGGAAAAAGAAATAACAAAAATCACTCAAAACATGACATTCCCAGAGGCAAGAAAACTTATAGAAACCTCTTCACTATACAAAATTATGCAAACACCACCAAATGAAAATCTAGGAAATAACTGGCAAAAACACAGAATCATTAATAAATGAATTGCAAACTCCCATTAAAGACCTAAAAACCAGGATAACAAATATGGAAATATTGCTCACTACCAAATTAGACCATAACCCAATAACTGAAGAAAAAGAAAAGAATGAAACCCAAATCACTAAGAAAAAACATAGATCTATCTCAGAATAAAGGAAAAACAAAAACCAATGATAATGCTTAATTTTTCAGACTACTTCTCCTTTGTCCTTGGTTTGGCTGTTTTGGACAGCCAAACGAAGGACAAAGTAGTCTGAAAAATTTGTGCATCATAAACAAGATGGTATAACTTAACAAATATTATAATAGAAAGGAAATATAGATACTTAATACAATAAAAGTAATATTAATTACCACTAAAATGAACAAATGGAACGTAAGCATCATACAATGGAACTGTAGAGGTGTTAAATCAAACAACTTACAGATTACAATCTGAATATATTGTCTGCTTACAGAAGATGTTTCTCAAAGAAACTGACATCTCCTTAAAAGGATATGAAACTATAACCACAAAATAAATGTATCAACACTAGAGAATATGCCAGGGGAGGGTACTTCAATATTGGTTGAAAAATTACTACCCCTATGAAAAACTACTATTAAATAAATCTACAGACCATGGCAGTAAAAGCTTTGATTCATTGAACAATAACTATATGTTCATATATGTTCAATTTATATTCCTTCAGAACATAGACTGAATAAGACTGAAATAGAAAAGCTAATTGGACAACTTCCCACTCTCTTTCTATTAATGGGAGATTTTAATGCACACAGCAAAATATGGAGCTGTAGGAACTCCAATCAAACTCGTAAAATTATAGAAATCATCTGATCTATGTATCCTTGATAACCAAATGCACACATACTTACACCCAGGCACCGGATTAACATCAGCCATCAACCTAACCATATGCACATATGTTCATGAAAACCAATGCGGTAGTGACCATTTATCTATTTTCCTTATAAATATAAGCAACTCTATGCCAGAAGAAAGGAATCCAAAATGGAAACTACACAAAGCTAACGGGTTAAAATTAAATGAACTCTGCTTATTCCAAATCAACATGGAAAATCTCAATGTACCTTAATCAATAGTGTCTCCTTTACAAACATACTAACACAAATACCAAGACAAACAATACACAAATCTTCCTTTAAACTACTTACCAAATCAAAACCCCTAGTTCACAGCAGAATGCAGAGAAGCAGTTAATACTAAGAAAAAAATGGTCATACACAACCCAGCTACAATCAACCTACTACATTACAGTTGAGCTTGAGCAAAAGCATGATGTTGTATCATTAAAAATCCAAAAGAGAAACTTTGAAAAACTACATCTTCAAATTAAACAACAAAACCCCAATAAATAAGGAAATGGAAAATTAATGGAAAATCATTATACTCCCAAATTTCAAAAATATAAAAACGCTATGGAACAAGAAAAACTTATTTTCACTTCAAACAATAAAGTATACAATATTCACTTTACTATGACAGAGCTAAAAGACTCCATAAACAAAAGTAAAAACTCTGCAACTGGTCCAGATGAAATCCATTACCAATTTTTTAAAATACCTTCCAGAAAAGTCTATTTTAATACTGCTCCAGATCTTCAATGATACAAGGTGTTCAGACTAATTTCCAGAATTATGGCTTGAGTTTATAATCACTCCAATTCTTAAACCTGGCAAAGACCATTCCAACCTAACAAACTACTCACCCATTGCACTAACAAGTTGCATTTGCAAGGCTATAGAGATAATAGTAAATGCTTGACTAATGTGGTACATGGAGAGAAACAATCTCTTATCTAGGTACCAAAGTGGATTCTGGAAAAACCAAGGAACCAATTATCAACTTGTATGGCTAGAATCCTTTATTCATGATGACTTTGGTCGAAGTCATCATGTGGTAGCAATATTCTTCAATGTGGAAAAAGCCTATAATACCACATGGAAGTATAGTATCCTAAAAGACATGCACAAGATGGGAAGAATGGCTATATTCATCCAAAACTTAGTATCAAACTGAACATTCAGAGTGAAATGGAAACAACATCAGCTGCACACAAGCAGTAGGTAGTAGTACCTTAAGGTAACATTTTATCAGTCACATTATTTATTCTCAAAATAAATAGTATTATTAAAACCATTAATACAGGAATTGAAAAATGCCTATATGAAGATGATCTCTGAATATCCTACTCATCACCAAACATGCCTTCCCTTGAAAGATATATACAATTATGTTTAAGCAAGATAGAAAAATGGACAAATGAAAATGGATTCTGTTTCTTCAAAACAAAAACTATGCATTTCTGCAAAAACTGAGCCTATCACCTCGATCCAGAATTAAAATTAAATGGATATATAATTCCCATAGTCCAACAAATAAAATATCTAGGAATCATCATCATTAGATAGCAAACTTATTGATTACTTTAAACAAAAATGTTAAAAGGATTTTGAATCTTCTGAAAGTAAACTGAACTGGGGTACTGACCAAAAAGTAATGCTCAGAATAAAACTCAAAATGAGACTATGGATGCATTATTTACAGTGCTGCACATATCTGTGGGGGGGGGGGGAGCTACAAACCATACAAAATCAAGGCCTGAGATTAAAGTCCCAGTGCCTTCTGGGCTTCACCCATGCAAAGTCTCTATATAGAAGCCAATGAATCATCTATAACTCTGAGATGGAAAAAAAAAATACCCCACCAATATGCATTAAAACTACAATCTTACAAAGCATACCAAAAAACATTTGAACCTCAATATATCCACTTCTATAGAAATAAACCAAGTCATCCCTTCATTTGGACTTTAACTCAAAGAAGCATTAGAATGAATAAACAAAGATTTTGATAACATAACACCAGTCACAATAAATGAGGTAGCTCTAGGGACAATCTCCAAACCTCCTACAGACCTAATGTTATATATATATATATATATATATATTATTTTATTTTATTTTTTTTTTGTGTCAATCAGCAGAAGCCTATATGGAGACTTAAGAGACAACTATCATAACTATAAACCATTCTACACAGATGTATCAGAATTCCTAGATAGAAAAGGTGCAGCAGCCACAGACAAATTCACAAACAAAACCAGGCTACCAAATAATGCATCCATCTATACAGCTGAACTACAAGCCATAAAAATGGCACTTAAAATGATAAAAAAAAAATTAAAAAGATAGGTAGTCTAAGAATATTATAAATTTCCTATTGAGTTTAACAGCAATTCAAGAAAAGAACACAAATCATCTCTAAATTCAAGAAATCCTAAAAACTTGTTATCATTTAATAAAGCACAGAACAATATTGGCCTGGATTCCTCACTATTTGGGCATCAAAGGAAATCATGAAGCCAACACACTGGCAAAAGAGACAATGAAAATAACTGTCAAATTCCTATATATATATACAGATTATAGAAACAAAATTACACAAATCAAGAAAATCAATTTGGGACATGTTCCCAAACAATAAACTATATGAACATCAGCTGGCAATAAGAAAGGGGAATATAGAGCCATTAGTTCATTGCTGACAAGTCATAGTGCTCAACAAAATAAGAATTGGGCACACACACACACACACATATAATGTTCAAGACAGAAACTACACCTTGGTGTAACCACTGCAGTCAATTTCTCATGGTCAAACATATCTTGATAGAATTTAAGAAGCACAAAAATATATGTAACAACTATTACCAAGTACAAAATCTTAACATGCGCTTCAAAAATGTACCTACTGCCCAAATAATAGGATATCTGAAGAAAATAAAATACTTCCAACTTCTATACAAAATAGAGCTTGGATTTTGAACCTTGCAAATTGTTCTGAAATACTCCTGAACTATACAACTTGTGATATTTTGAAAACAATTTTAAAACCTCACAATCACTTGAAACTATTTGAAACATTCCTGAATAAAGATCCAGTTTCAGCATTAAATGACCCATAGAGGTTGATATGCTGGTAAAACAAATAAACAGTCAATCATTGTCTAAGACCATCACGATGTGTACCTCTGGTGTCCACATAGTAACTTCCACCCTTCATTTCTCCTTTTCATCTTACCACTTTTGAGATGATGATTATACTAGCCTCAAGTTGTCTTGGTTCATGGCCGTTTTCAACAGGAACCACATACCTCTTCATTTCCTTTGTCAGATTAGAAGTGATAATATCAATGCTCTAGATATATCAGAATAAGAATATTAAAATCTAGTAGATGCCAAGTAACATTACATTTGATTGTATTCCATTGATGGCTTTGCTAAGGACATTTTCTCGTACTGTTTTTCTGTGTGAACACTTACACACAATCTGCATGAGGGCAACCTCTTCTTTTTCTCCCCAAATGTTTGGTCATGTGGGTCAAGCCCAAAACTTTTTATGCTAAATTATATAAAAGTGTGGTTGAAAACCTTTTCATTTCAGTCATTAATTACAAAAAAAAATCATTCAGTATTTGAAACTGCAATGCACTATAAAATGTGTATAGCATTTTGTGTGACTGGGCAAGTTTAAAAAATATTTTTTCTTAATGTCCTATGTATTTTTTCAGATTTGGATATGGCATTGGCATATTGGAATATTGTTTTAGCTGACAAATTCAAGTTCTTGGACTTGTGGTGCAAATTTTTACAAGTAATACATTTTTTTTGTCTTTTGATAATGTATAGTCAAAGTACTTGATTGAGTTTTATGGTTAATAGAAATGTAAGAGTAATATTTATTTTTAAATACTTTCAAAATTATTTTAATTTCATCTTTTTACAGTTTATATTTTAAATTTTTATATAAATAATATACAAAATGCCTTCCGTTCTCATTTTTATACACTCTAATTTCCATAGAAAATTGAAACAATTGTGGTTAGGGCATTTTGCAGGAATCAGTTACTATGCTAGTAGTAATAACTGGCTGTTATAAATGTCTAAGATACTCTAACAAAGATCTGAAAATTTAGATCTTAAGTTTTTATAATTTAAGCTTTTTGTTTGTTTTCATTTGGTATCTAATAGTCCAGAGATTAATGCTTTGTTTTAAACATTAAAAAGATTTCTCCCAATCCTGAATAAACTTTTCACTGGTCAAAATAAAAAAATAAAAAAAAACTCAATGTACACATTTTTGGTAACATAAATTCTGAAGTTTTGGAATTCAGAACAGCTATTTGAATATAGAAAACTTTTCCTTGTAATGAGTCTAAATACTTGATAAAGTGGTTGCTAAAAAATTCAGTGAGTATGCTGAATGAGGTACTTTCATAGCCCAAGCTATTCAATTTTTGGAGTGTTGATTGTATGATGTTTGGTCAAACAGTTCTATTTAGTCCTGGGTATGACAATGAATTATATCTGGCATCAAGTCTTCTGAGTGGGAGATTGGAGGTTTTGAGGAACATAGAAATCTCTCTCTTAATTGCCAGGTCTGCCCTAACCTAGGGTAGTAGCACCTGTTGGGGTCCCAGCTATGGGAAAATAGTGAACCCCCTGATCAAAAATAAAATACTATGAAATTATAAAAAATATTTTTTTATAGTAAAAATGACCAACAATACATTCTATCTGTAGTTGATGCCATAAAATTACAATCAAAATCAGCATAACTTTCTTTAGGTACAACTTCAGCTTTTGGAAGTGTTTAGGAGTTTCATCTCGGTTAAGGTATAGTGCTAAGCAGCATCAATTGTTGTATAAGATCCACCTTTCATCTCCTATCACAATGTACTTAAGAAATAGGTCCATTTGTGTAGCACCCATTTTTCAAGCATCTTCAACTTCAAATAGTTAAAAATTGTTCTATTGCTTATCTCTAGCACTCTAACAGTTATGAGAATTTGCGTCTATCAGGGCTTTGAATTTTGAATCCATGTTAATGACGCATTCATTAACACTTTGGCTATGAAGTTGATGTTTGTAGCAGTTCATGCTGCACTGTGGCCAAGTTTAAACTTCTGGAAATACATTTGGCCAAAATCTTGTTTTAAGATCTTCAAAAATCTGAAAATTGACTAAAATGCTATCTATAAAAAATGGATTAGAACAAAAGCATAAAGTTAGCTTTAAAATGACAATTTTACACACTTTGTGTGAGATTTTATTCTTAAGTGTTATAATAAATAAAGGTAAAGCCTGGATTCATTTGTGAACAATTTAATAAATCTGGCATTTTTTTTTTTTTTTTCAATCTAATATTGAATATTATTAATCCAAATTTAAAAAATCCTGACATAATTATCAATCTCTTTATGATATGCACTCTTAAAAAAAAAAAAAAAAATAATTTGAAATGTGGGGAATGTGGCCAAAAGATTTAAGTCAATGTTATGTATCTGCTTGCCTTTTCTTTAGCTTTTCTTGGTTTCACTTTGATTAGTATCTATTTTTCTGTCATTTGTGTCATGACTGCATTGTATTTAATTTGAACCCTTATTTCTCTTCTAACTTATATTGTCTTTCCCTCTTTACAGGAACACCACAAAAGATCCATACCAAAGGACACATGGAATCTCTTATTAGATTTCTGTAATATGATAAATGATGACATGAGCAATTATGATGAAGAAGGTAAGTGACTTCCTTTATTGTATTTCTCCTTGCTTGCACAATATTTATAATACCTTTATGCTACATCAAGATCATCTTATGTTGAGGACTAAGGTAGTAAGTATTCATTACAGATATTAAAATCATAATCAGTCACAAAAATATTAGAAAATTAGGATTCAGTTATTTTTATGGTTGTGAGAGAACAAGCCAGGACTTCTACATGATCCAATGGACTATAAATGACTTTATCTGGTTCTGAAACACCAGCTGTTTTATAACAACAGCAAAATAAAGGTGTAGAGCTTTAAAGCAACCATCTACTGTCCAGAAGTAGGTAAAAGAAAATCAATTATATGAATAAATAAAAACTGTCAGGATTAAGTGCCACTTGTCAAAAAGATATGGAATTCCAGTTGTGAGCTTATATGGTCTGGCTGCATTATAGATTGACCAGTGATGAGATGTAGAAGCAATTGGTAACAGGCTGTCTGTCAAGATGTTATTGATAGTTGCAGTCAGAGATGGGTAGAGGATTAGTTTGAGTTCTTGCTAACCAAAGGGAAAAATCTGGCCTGTCAAGAGAAAAGTAGCAGTGAAAATATATTGAATGTCAGTTCCCTACTCTTGGACAGTGCCAGGTGAATCCATGATTAATGAACCAGTATATTGAGAACAGGATTCAATGTTTTCTCTTGTAGTAATATTTCGCCTTCTGTTTGTTATTGAATGTACACTGGATCTTAATTTTTGTTCACACCAACGTAAGCATGAAATCATAATGCATTATGGGATGAAGCTGTCCAGTCTGGAAATAATTAACTAAGGGATTTTGTTTATCAAAATAGTTGTCTCTTCACAGTTCAGTTAGTTAAGATGGAATTCTGGCCACAGCTTGTTGATGCAGAAATCAAGATTTATAGTTATTTAAGTACAGGCATTCCTATAAAAGCTGTATTGAATTTTGTGTAATGCTTGAGATCACGCTTCATGTTTCCATTCTTGTTGTTGGCTTCCTTTTGGCTAGGTTTATTGCTGCTCCTACAGATTTTTATGTCACACTTCAATTATAACTCCTTAATGTGTCAAAAAAAAGTCTTATTTGGTGGGGTGGTAGTCTTTTAGCTCTTAAAAGAATGTGCCTTTTTTTTTTTTTTTTTTTGCTTCCCATGTTAATCTATTTGTCTTATGTCTTAAATTCATTGACTGGTCTGATCCAGTTTACAGGATTTTAAATGCTTATTTTCTGGTATCTTCCAACTTGCTGCACTTATGTGTGTGTATGTGTGATCTCTAGCTATCGCTGCAGACACCATTAATAATGCCACAGCTCTCCTACATCATCTAGAAAATGCTGCTAACAATTTTGGGCTCTGTCAATGCCTCTAAAACTGAATTCATAAGCTTCAATCTAGCAAGGCTCAATACTTGTCTCAGGTGAATCAATAGAATCTGTGGAGTCTTTTACATATCTAGGAATTGAAATCAATTCTACTGAAAAGAGTGTGAAAATTTACATAGCTAAAGACTGGAACACCTTGAATAAAATAAATGTAATATATAATATGGAAATCTGATCTCCCAGACAACCTCAAATGGAGATTCTTTCAATCTATTGTAGAGGCGTTTCTAATGCATCTCTGCCACTGCTTGAACATTAACTAAAATCTTTGAGCCTAAGCTTGATGGAACCTACACTCGAATGTTGAGAGCTATACTTAACATCATTGGTGGCAACATCCAACTAAATCACAGTTCTATAAACCTATCTCTGATATTTCTATGATCTTACATAAATGCACTTTGCAGGACACTCTTATCACATTGATGTTGCCAGGTGGTGGCCACATTGAATACTTGTAAGACCGGAAATAAAAGTTGATTGTGAGTAAAATACTTGTGACTTGGCTGGAGTTTATTGCCTTTTCCTTATTAAAATATTGCGTAATTGAATTGGTTCATTCTTTTTGAATCATTGTGTGTGTGTGTGACTAAATCACTTTTAAAACTGGTGAATAAAACCAAAATGAAAGTTGAAAGAGTTAAATTTAGATATTTATATTATTTATCTCTGTGTAAAAAAAAAAAAAAAAGAAATTAAAAATTAATCTGGAGCTGTGCCATGAGTAGCATTGTCTGGTTTTATTTTCAGCTATTATGGTCTAAGTATAAAGCCAGTTCTATGATAAATACTAATTTCTAAAGGTATGCAAACACAGACCTTGTTAAAATGAAAGTTCTAAGCAGTTTTTAAAAACTTGCAACAGATGTGAAACAGAAAAACAACCAGAAATAAAGATGAAGATACTTGTCTTAAACGTGTCAAATGAGAGATTTCAAGTTTCAAAATTTAAACTTGATTAAAATGAAAATTAGATTTAAATATAATTAACTTTTAACCCACTCTCTGAAAATGGCAAATACTTCAATTTCTTGGCTTTTTATACGGAAATATTAAGTAGCCTATTAATTTTTAATTATAATTTCCATAAATCCTGAAATTGAAAAGACTAAAGATTTCACTGTTTCTGAAGGGATTTCTAAATTCGAGCTTTTGAGGTAGCAATGAAATATGTGATATTTTGTGTATAGATTTACTACATATGTGACAATGTTGCATCTATCAGTTCTTGATAAAAAAAAAAAAAAAAAGTTATACTTTTTTCTTTTCCCTACCACACTTTTTCACTTGCAATTCTCAGTTGTGTTTTTCTTTTTCTTTTCAGGTGCTTGGCCAGTTCTTATAGATGACTTTGTGGAGTATGCACGTCCGTTAATTCAAGGTTGCCAAAGTACAACTGTATGAACGTTCTGTTCATTAGACAACCTTGTTCCTACTGCTAGTGTGCCAATCTCCCAAAGTCTGCACTTGAAACAAACACCACCACCAACAACAACAACAACACTCAAAGGTGCAGTTGAGATGACATCAGACCAGGTCACCTCACCCCCACCCACCCATTGCCATTGGCTACTTGTGGCTTTTCACAACCACTTACAACAAACAAAAGGCTTTCTGTGTAGTTACTGAATTGTTTTTTACCTGGACCTCATATCTGTGTTGGGCCTTTTTTTTCCCTTCACAAGGGGAGGTTGAAACATTCTGAGAAGAACTGTCAGAAACAGATAACTAAGAGACACAAAAATAACACTTATAACTAATTTCATTTTTGTCATTGATGAACTGTAGCCAAAATGTGAATTCTCTAACACAAACTGCATTTCTTGTGTTTTCTCCTTCCCTGTTAGGACAGCAGGAATTCATTTGTCCACTAACAATATTCATTCGCTAGCAATGCCTGCTGCCACCACTCTCACCACCACCACCACCACCACTGTTGCCACCACCAGCTTTGGTCATTTTGATCCTCAGTAGTGGATGGACAGGCAAGGAGATAACTAAATATCACCAACAACAAAGAAATGGATGGGAGAGAAAATTGTTGCAGCAAATTTTCAAATTTGGAAACTTAGGGTAGGGAGGGGGATTACTCCCTTTTTTTTTTTTTTTTTTCCTTAAATTTTCAGCCTAAATGAATTTTTTTTTTGTGTGTAATATATATATATATATATATATATATATATATATAAGACTTTGCTTTATATCTATACTGTTCTAAAATTTAGTTTTTAACCTGCTTTTTTTTTTTTTTTTTTTCTTTCAAGCCCTCCATATTTTTTTTTCACAAAGTGATGGACTTCTTAAGTTTGCAATGCTTTGTCATTTAACCTTGCATCAAGTTGTTCTGCATTTACTGTCACTGATTTTTTTTTTTTTTTTTTTTTTTCCTTCCTTCCCCTACGCTTTGTTTCATTCTTATTCTGAGCCTCTCTCAATATGCATTCATATCTTGTGGCAAAGATATCACTCTTGTCATTGGCAGTAAGTTTGAGTCAATTTACTGACATGACTTCTCAGAAGTCCTAAATGTTTTTGTACCAGGTTTAGTTCCATTCTGCTGCACACAGTGCCTTGAAATCTTGAAAAATTCCTAGCAATTTGCTCTTTCTATCTTGTGTGTGTCTCTCTGTTGCAGCTTGTAAGTTGCTCATCGTATTCATTTCACTGTTGTGTTTACTGATATTAGTAAGATTAACTTAGTTTCTGACTATGTCTCATCTGTTTTAGTTGCTAAAGTAAACTTTTACTGATTCAAATAGACAAAAGAACACTCTCTAAGAAAATTGTATCATTTTTTAAAATTTAACTATTTTAATATTGTAATTGATATTTTTTTTAACTCCATCTTTTCATTGCTGTTGCTAATGGAAAGTTCAACCTTTTCTGGGCAACCAAGCACATAATAAAATTACTGAATTTGCTGGTGATTAGAAAAATTAAAACTTAAACTGAAGCCAAACGGTTTTATGTCAGTGTGTTATACAATTTTAATGAAATACCTTCAAAACTTATGCAAAAGCAGATTTTACTCCCTCTCTCCACCTCAAGTTTGTAAGCTTATGCTCTCCTTTCAAAAATGTCAGCCTTATCTTGCCGTGGATAATCTCTTGTAATAATTCTTCAGTTTTAACAGCTATCTATAAAAGTTACCTACATACAATTTTAGTTTCTGCTTGAATTTTGCATTTGGGGTGGGTGTTGTATCATGTCTTGGAAAAGCATGTTTTTTAACAAGCCATATTGTTTGAAGACGTAGTTTTTGAATGAAACGGGTGTATAGAAGTTAGTTAAGTTTTTGTATCTTTATTTCTATACTTTAAAGTTTGAGATCCCAAATTTGAATTATTTACTTGGCTTTGGACTTTAGTCAAATGTTACTGATTTTGAGATTGATTTTTTAAAATTTTTGCCTTTTTTTACAAATATGCAGAACTCGGGTATTTTCTCTTTAAAAAAAAAAAAAACAAATGGTAGCATTTGGATTGATTCTTCTGTATTTGCATTAAATAATGCAAAATATTTGAATTTAATTTTGGGATTTATTGAGCTTTCTTTTGATTTTTCTTTATTCCCTTATTATCTGACCTTTCTGTCCATTAGGGTTGGTTAATTTGTGGCTAAATATATTCAGTCCCAATATTGCAGGTAGAAGTTTTTAGTTATGGCCACTGACATAAGAAAAAAAAAATTCTTTAACCATTAGATTGGTGGATGATTGTCTGGTAACTACCAGAACAGCTTGCAGCTTGTTAGCCTTTAAAGTTGTACTGAGACAATCTTAGGTTATTGCAGATAAAAGCTTGCAGGTGTTTTTTTTCCGTCCTATCTCTGGCATCTCTATTGTGTGTGTGTGAGAGAGAGAGAGATTTTCTATATATATATGTGTATGTATATATATGTGTATGTGTGTATATATATATATATATATATATATATATATATATATATATATATATCGACATACTTGGCTTAGCTTAAAATACAGTTTTCAATTTTCTATTCTCACGAATTTACAATCCCTGTCTTCCTCGTTAGAAACTTGGCTAAAAATGCTGGGTGGTTCAAATTGATGATTGTAGATATTTCAAATTTGTTTAGATAACATTTTGATTGTTTCTCTTGAAAAACTGCTATAGACGTAGAATGTCTTGGATGCCTACAAAGTTAGTGAATGAACCTTTTTTTTTTTTTTTTTTTTTTTTATTTCCTCTTGTTGCAGGGAGGTTGCATGGCTACAGGCTCTCCATATCTGTGGCTCTTTATTGACATGTCCTCTGGTTTGATGCTCTGCTGGAACAGATGGTTGGTGGGTGGGTTGGTGAAGACTGGTGGTAGTGGTGGTGGTAGTGAGCATATGTGATATTCTGTATACAAATATTTCTCGCCAGATTCATTGTCCTGTCATAAACCTGTTCTATTCTGAGCCATCAACTACACAATGTCCTGGAGATTTGAACAACAACAATGAAAAAATAAAAATAAAAAAAAAAAAAAAAAAAATGAAAGCAAAAATCACATGTCCATTGCTGTATTTAAATATTTTGAAACCTCTCAGGTGATTGCAAAATTCACTTTTGCAAAACAGCTTGTTTATTGTTTTCTTCTTTCTTGGATTCTTATCTGCTCTGCTGTTAAAGATTTAAGAACAGTAGGTAAATATTTCATTACTTATATATAAAAATAAACAAAATGTGTGTGTGCATAATATGTGAGTAGAGGTGGAAATATATGAAAACTTGCATGAGTGATATTTGAGTTAAAAAAAAAAAAAAAAAAAGTATGTAAAATCAGCATTTAGTTGTATTTTACAGTATCTGTGCACACATAATTCTCTATTATGTCATTTTCAGTGAATGACCAGCTGCTAGTGTTGGTATTTCTTTGAAATGTCTTAATGATTTTTAGAAACCATTAACAAGCTTTCTATTATTGAGCATCATGGTAGTTAGGCATTGCCTGTCAAATGGAAGTTGTATTTAAGAATCTTTCAATTCTAATTCCACGGAATTTCACTTGGCTCATCCACAAGTGCAGTGTTCAGTTTCCACTATAATTCAATAGGCTACAAGAAAAAGAATCTCAGCTATGAGCACCTACCATGTTTGGATGGTCAGTGTGCTAGATTAGTGAGTTTATTCCTCAATGGGTGCTCAATGAATGTGGCCTTGTGCCAAATTTGGCTTAATCCAAATGTATAACCTCATGCTTCCTGAGTGAATGGTTAGGGTATTCCACTTGAAACCTGAACTCTTTTATTTGCTCAAATTCCAGCAAATTTTTCTTTTAAATATCAGCCTTTTTTCGGTGCCCACCTACCTACCCAACTATATGCAGGAAAACACTGTGCCAATCTGATTTGTGGCAGTAGTTGGTCAATATCTGAGTCACTTTCCTCATTTTAAACCACTGGCTTTGTTGCTTTTACTCTGCTCTGTATTCATTTCTCTCTAAAAGAATTTTGACACTAAAAATTAATGATTGTACTGTCCTGAACTTGCATCTTTTTTCTTTCTTCTCTCATATCTTAGCAGTTGCCTGTGGTTTTGGAGTGACACCTTTTTTTTTTTTTTTTTTTTTTTTTTAACCAAAATAAATTACTTAGTTTCTGAGTGACTGAGGTTTTTTATTTTTAATTTTCTTTTAAGTTCTGTCTTGGGTATCACATGACCCAAAAGGGTGCTTGGTCACAGCTTGTCTATTGTTGAAATAAATTCTTTTTAAAATTTTAACTTGCTTTTTACTGAAAACTGAAATGCACATACTCACACCTTTTAACTTAAAGAAACATGAGGTCCTTTTGGCTATAAAAGCATGATGTTTTTTTATTTTTCAAACAAAAAGAAATACTTTTCCTTTTATGTTGCACATTGTGTGCTACATAAAATAATTTAAAGTTAAATTCTGCTGTCTTTGTGGTTGGCAAAATATGTTTAGGTAACATCCGGCTATTTTTTTTTCTTTTTTTAAAATAAATAAATAAAAAGATTCTGTGAATTTTTTTTTTAATTACAAAACTCTTGCATATTTACTTCACAAATTGCTCCTATCTGTCTACTTAGACCAATATCTAAACTAAGGTATAATCTCTTTCCAAACTTTATCCTTATCCATTTTAGAGCTTATCTACAATATTTTACTATTGTTGATTGGGCAGTACATTTCGCCAGACTTCTATCTGACCTAATTTTAAATCTGAATATTTTATATTTTAATCCTTTTAATAGCATTAACTGCTGTGCCTAGAAGAAATTATTTTAACATTGCATTATGAGTTTATAAAAACAATAAATGTATATTTGACTCATTTATGCTACAAAAAAAATGTTTATTTACTCCTCATCCTTATTCGGATGTTCAGCTAATATAATGGCTAGTGACTCTAAAAGAAATCAAAAAGCCAAGTT